TTTTTTTTATCTAATTGCATTCAGTTTAGGCATTCTCCTTCTATGAGATGCCAATCCTCAGCTCTCATCGTAGGATTGACGTCATTCCTTTCAGAACACAACTCAAATTCATCACAGTTAACTTTCTACTTGTGTGCATTGGCTCCAGACAAAACTCAGAGTAGGTAGACAGTCACCATTGTATACAGAATTCCTGGTACAATGTAGTGTCTGGACAAGACTCTCAACACGTCGCCATAGGAAGGACTGCATACTGTATCCTTACCACATGCCAGAAGCTGGGATATGCTAGACCTCTCTAGGACTCAGTCACCGTGGATGAAGACAGCACGATCCAGAAAGGCAAGGTAAAATGACTGAGGTTAACACAACAAGGAAATGGTCAGGTAGAGGCTTGCAAGTACAATTATCAAGTCTTACAAAAATGTCATTTCCAACCCTGGTATAGTGCCTCCTGCAATGCAAACTGGGACAAAATAGGGCAGGCACAAACCAACTGTACTGAAACTTTCTGACCCCAGAGAATGAAGATGATGGCCCTTCTTGGAACCTCAGAGTTCCTAAAGCGCCATTTCAGAGCCATCCATTTAGCAATATAAATGGTTTTAAGGCTACTGAAGAAACAGAAACAACAGTGACAGCTGATTTTGTGGAACTCTTTATGAGAACTATGCTAGGCAACTGACAAGCCAGTGCTTCTCACTGAATCCTCCATTTGTCCAGTAACCTCGGTTTACAAAGTGAGAAAACAGAGGTTAGTGAACAATTACCTTGTCTGAGATTATATGAACGGAAAAGGTAAAGCCAGAACCCAGGGCCCATGTTCTAGATTCATTGCCTCTGGATACACATGAAGCTTCATTCCCAAGCTAGCCTGAGCCTCTCTTTAGAACTATGTCATTGTTTTTGCCTTTCCTTCCTCCTTACTGGTCATACTACCACCAGGAACAATATAAAATGCCTTCTGGATACATCTCTCATGATACTCTGAAATCTGTACACAAAGCACTATTTGTGAAGCTTGGAAGGAAGGTCATCATTTATCAAATAGAGAAGGATCATCTACCAGACAAGATCTGGCACCTGCTACCAGATATGGCACAGAAGAGGGACTGCATAAATGTCGCTTGTACTAAATTGAGATTAGTTGAATGAAAGGAAATAGTCACTGTGTAATCTGGCCATGTTTTGGGATTTCCTAGCTGCCAACTAACATGATCATTCTCTCCAAGAAGAAGCTAGGTCTATGCCAATACCGTTGGCTATTTTGCTAACTTGCCACTAGCCTTGAATTGCTTAAATGAGAGAAAGAATATCAAAAGGCAGAAGGAGAGTAGAATGATGATCAGCCATAGACTTGTCACTTAAGGAAAGTGGACTCTTTATGGTAACAAGGTTACCATTTAACAAACAGCATCAACATTCTGTTCAAGCTTAAAGACTAGAATTAGGTCTTAGCCCAAAATAACCTTTTTTCAAATGAGAATACTAGGTTATAATTTATATTTCTTTTTGTGCAACAAATTTGAGTGTCATAAAAATGGTTAAAAAGTCTTCCTATGGTAGCTTTTTCTAAACTTTTATGAACATCTGCCACATTCATTTGAAGTTTAAAAAATTCTGGCACATATGCAAAGGCATAATAAGGTGCCTATAGCTTTCAAGAAAAAATAACAAGACAGTCAAAAATAAGCCTTTTGCTGAATTGCCAGTAAGAAAACTAGTGTAGTGAGAGAAGATGGGCCTCCCCACATTCCTTCCTTAAAGAGATCTCCTTTGGCTATAGGTCTGCACTCTTCTCCAGGCGTTAAAGCCCGTAGGGAAGTGTTTCTAGCACTGAAGAGTGTGACAGAGCCAAGTAAACACCATTGGCAATCATGTCAGGTCCTCCATATCTGAGGTGAATCCCAGGGCAAGATATCAGCAATTCCAACATTTGGTAGGTCATGGCTGCCCAATGCGCCCAGTAAACACTGGCTTCAATGGTAGGGCATCTACCATGTTTGTTTGTCTTTGGGGCTGACCACAAAGGAATCTGGTAGACTGAACTCCTCTACCATAGTCCATCAACAAGATGAGTATCTATGCAGGCTAGTACTTGCTGAATCTTCTCACTTAAAGCCTCACAAAGGCTAGACAGAATAGATTTGCACCCAATCACCTATGCGCAGACCTCTGTTTCAAGGTATAGCTTCAAATGCATGCATATTTTACACTGCATGTTATACTACAAAAAGTCTTATTTTAAGTTACCTGTAATCATATACATAGTAAAACATTAACCTCCCCTGTTTTTAGCATAAAATCATGTCACTGGGTTGCCTGAAAACAGTGATACCTACTGGAAGCTGCTAAATGTGCTCCCAATTATAGTCCCTAAGCATCAATAGTTCCACCTGTTTGGCATCCTGCTAAAGGTGCTGAGGCCACCAAAGTGAATGACGCGCAGGTCTTTTCCCCAAATTCATGCTCTGGGGAATAACAGAGAGGGAGAAGGAAGTAAACAGCTATCATTCAAAGCAAGAGGCTCAATATATGAAAAAAGATGGAAGACTTCACAGAAGAGAAGGGCAAGGCTTCTCAGTGAAGAAGTGTGGGATTGGGCATCTGTTTAGGGATCAGCTAGAGTGCCAGTTAATAAGTGCTTTGCAGCCATCACCAAAAGGCTTGACAGCTGCAGAAAACCCATGCAGAAAGCAGGGGCAGTACAGAGGGCAAGTTGAAGGTGGTTACCCACCCATCAGTGACTAGGTAGGGGGAAACCCAATCTATGGTGGGACTATGGAATGAATTTTATATTTACTTTTGCACCTCTAGGACCTAGCACAATGCTTAGAACATAGGAGGCCCTCCTTTTGTTTATCAGTGAATGAATTAGGCTTTGCAAGAATCTGTGAAAGCAAAGAAAAAGTGTCAGTGAAGGAATAGAGGATGAAGGGAGGCAAAAGGCATTTCAGAGATTTTGTGAGTATTAAGGAAGAATGAATAAGGAAAATGAACATTCAGCCACACTCACTGTGTCCCACTTTAGTGTCTGCAAACAGTGGTGTCACTCCTGGGGAATGGGAACACTGAGAGAGGAGCAGAGTGACGAGTGTGTGTGCATGTGTGTGGGGGGCTATGTGAGCACATAGGCAAGTGCAGGTAAGGAATTATTCGAGGAAGACTGAGGGAGACATCCAGGTGAAATGCAATTGGTACTTGAAACTCGACCTGATGTGCAGAGAGGCAGAGCAGAGTTAGAATCACAGCTGTGAGTTGTTGACTTTAACTGGGTAGTTGAAGCAAAACCCTTAAACAAGATGACTAAAAGACATGTACGGAGGAAAAGCAAGCCAAAGCTAGGCCCCCGAAGAGCTCCAAAGGTGCCAGGACACAAAAAGGCCTAAACAAGTCTGCTGGAATAGAGTAGAAGGCAGGAGAAAGGTAAAAGGGAATTGTAGACTCTGAGAGACCAAGTCACCTTTAGATTAGTATTTCAAACCCTACAGGAGTTGGCACAAAAGATCTATTAGAGAACATGCACTTTTAATTTTTCATATGTAAGCTTTGAGCAAACCCTCCCAAACTTGACAAACAAAGGTAAAACAGAGAAGAAATCTCTTTAATCTGATCTAAATACATCATCCAAGATAGTCCATAAACTGTGTACTGCATGTGCTTAGGGCTGGGTGATGACAGGGAGGGACTGTTAACAGAATGTAGGAGCCACATGGCTGTCCTGTCAAATTAGAAATTTGAGCAGATTTCTGTGGTCTATTTTGATCAAGATTCTCAATGTCAAACAAACAGGTTTTTCGATAACCAACTTGTTTCATTTTCGTAAGTACAATAGCACAGTGTGCAACAGTTAGTGGCGAAGCAGGTGGTCCTCGTCGATATGAAATGAAGGGAACAGAAAGAAGTAGCACTTCCTTTAAGACATGCAAAGTACCCTCACAGACAGACATGGCTGTGGTGCCACACAGGCGAGCCCCACCCCGCCCCGCCCCACTCCACCCCACCCCCATGGAGCTCTAGCACAATGTCTGCTGCCTCCTGAGGAAGAAGGGGCTTGGGGTTTGTGCCTATGGGCTAATGGCACTTACAAAAACACAGAAAAGTCCTTTAAAAGAACTGCTATCTAATTGGTACAGCCATACAGAAGGCAATCTGGCATCAAATTCATAGCTTTGACCAAGCATTTCTACTTTAGGGATTCTATGCTCAGGAAATAAGTCAAAATGCAGATAAAGCCTTATGCATAAAGATGTTCACTGAAATGCTATTTATAATAGAGGAAAAAAAAGATAAACAATTTAAGTGTCCAACACTAGGAAAATGGCTAAATTATGGTATATACAAATAATGGGAATGACAGGTAACACATCTATTACTAAGAATAGACACAAAAACATAGAAATTCTCATGCCATAATGTTAAGTGAAATAAAGCCATAAATTGTATGTATTTACCACATATCAATTGTGCACATTTATTGATTTTTATATGAGTATCTACAGAATAAGGTCTCGAAAGGAGAACAGTAAAATGCGAACAGTGCTTCAACCTGGAATAATGGTATTGTGAGTAATTTTAATATTCTTTTTTACTTCTATATACTACATCACATTTATATGACATATATTTATGTCACCATTCCTACAGTGAGAAACACGTAGTACTGGTATAGTGACTTCGGATAAATATTATGAAAGGTGAGCTACTTTTCTTTGCATGTTCAAACCTTCATAGAACAATTTCCTCCTGCTTTCCTGAGCCTCACTCCCTTACCCATGAAAATCTACAATTTCTAAGCCAAGTGGGAAAGCCTTGAAATTAACAGCCAGTAGAAAGGGTCTAAACAGAACACTCAGCTATGCACACCTGAGAGGTAACACACATAAGCTTGAACTTCAACCCACGCCCATATGCAGAGCTATGCAGCCAGAGACTATGTCTCTCCACTGCACAAAACAAAACAAAAGTCAAGGGATTGGGGAGGAAGGAAGCCAACTTACCTCCATTAAACTTAAATGGATTCCTATGAGGTAGGGCATGGGAGCACTGTGAAAAGAAACAGAGACACACAGCTGCTTTAATGTCTGTTGCTTCTGACAGAAAATTACAGATGGTTCACTATTTGGAGAAAAACTGTTTTAATAAACGTATGCACAGTTACATTTCCTTTCACAACAAAAATCCTAATATGACATTTTGTTCCCAAGCCTAGAAACTTCTGAAGAATTTAAAAATGCAGTAGCACTGGAAACAGTGTGACTAGTGGGAAGACCAGCAACCTCGGAGCTAGCCCCTAAATAGCAGTGATGCAAACTGCACAGTCTCAGTCACTTTATCTTTAAAATGGGAGACTGGACTCGACCTGCTATGTTATTATTAGAACAAGAGGAAATACAGATACTACAAATGACCAGCAGAGTTTCCACTAAAAATAGGAACTATGATTGCCATGATGTCAACGGAAAATACAGTGGGGGTCACACAGAGGGTATAATAAAGTTCAAAGAAGGGTGATTACTTTTTTTTATTTGATGCATCTTTCTGCCACCAAGAGGCAGGACCTAACTGTTCATTCTAATTAAACCAGGTTCTGGAGAACTGCCAGGAAGCTTCTCCACTGTGGTGGCACACATGCCATGTGATGACACTGTTCATAAAGCCTTTGCTAACTTCTTCATTCACACAACAACAGGTTTCCCCAAATCAGTGCCTAACCAAGAGGATCAGAACCCAACTCCAACAGTTTTAAAGCCTGGGCACTTAGGGTTGACCATCGCTTCTTTTGTTTTCACGACCACTTGTGATGCTACCTACCAACAGTAAATGTAATAGTGGTTATATGAAGATCTTAAATTTACTTTTGCTAGTCCATATGACAAACTTTCAAGATAGGTATAATCTTTATTTTACAGAGAAGGAAACAGACTAGAGAGGTTTTTTTATCTAAAGGCACAAAACCAAGTAAGTGGTAAACCTGGGCTTTTACTCCAAAGTGTATGCATTTCTCCCTTGGTGTCACGCTGACTCTGTGACGTTAATCTACAATTCTAACGCTCTCCTCCCATGCCATGTCTTTGCTTGAGGGCAAAGGAGGGAGGTCAGGGAGTAGAAAAAATGGAAATAACTGGCAGCCTTTCCATTTATCTCTCCAATACATGGTATATCCTATGAAATGCGCAGAGTATTCTTTATGCACTTAGGGAAGACACGTAGCTCAGACTGGTGTGACCAGACACTTCCTCTGGACCAGGTGGGATTGTCAAAATACACGGACAAGGATGACTCTTTGGGAACAAAGTCAGGGAACAATAAGGACTGAGTATTGAGGAAGAAGTTTGTTTGTGATGCAATACAGTCACAAAAAAAGCAAAAAAGAAAGAAAGAAAGAAAAAAAGGCCAGGCAAAGAGGGTTTTAAACATCAGATGTACATTTTACAATTGCTCAAAAATTTAAAAATAAGAAAGGGCACAATTTCCTCATTATCATTCAATAAATCAAGTTCCTCAAGTAAAATCTTCCCCCACAATATAAAATGTCCTCCTTGCTACAGATCTCAGCAGTTATATATTTCAAGAGCCTATAAAGGAGACTTACTATTAGCAGCACAGTTTGGGAACTATTCTTCTAAAAGACTTACATTTTTGGTATTTGATAACAGCCAAAAAAAGAACGATACATGTAACGGCAATGAAAGTGGAGTTGTCCTTTCTTCTGCTTTCCTCGCCTCTCTTTTATAAGGTATCTGCTGGCCATGGTCAGCTTCTCTCTGCTTCTGGGGCGGGGGGGGGGGGTTGTAGAAAATGCCCTGTAGTATTTTTTCCCCTTAAACTGTAAACCATTAGTTTAGCTGCCAGCTACATAAATGCTCCAACTTCCAAGTGTGCCTGGCTCTGCTGTCCGAGCTTTTTCCAATGTACACTGAAATGAATGTGTTTCTAATTAAGTAGCTTCAGGAACACGACAGCTTCAATGTCAAAAATACAAAGTCTGAACCCCGGCAGGAAGTCTTAAGACTGCAAATGTCTCATCTAGTGGAACCTTGCCTAATGTAATGAAAGGAAGCAGGAAGAACACAGAATTCCAGAAAAAATGGCCACTTATTAATGTGTCCAGGAGTGAGCACAGCCTAACACAGGAGGGAGAAAAGCTTGGATTGATAATATTTGACTAAACTGCATCAACTTTTCTAGCTATTAAATTCAATCATGTAGTTGAGTAATGATCATCAGTTTTAATTAGAATTTTAGACCCAAAATTCCAATAAATAAGCTGACATATAGAAAAAGACATTTAAACAACTGTGACAAAAAGGTAAAAATAATATCTATGGTCAAAGCTCTTTGTACAACTTAACCACAGACTCATATGAAAAAGATATTATTTTGTAGAATTTTAAATATGCAGGTTTTAATGCCATGGCCTTTTGTCCTGCAATAAAAATCAACAGTACCCTGGAAAAAAGGGGGTGAGGAGTGCTTACAGAATTGACTGCAAATGTAAGGGACAAAGAGGAACTCACACTTTGGGCATTTTTAGGTAGGTAGTTTTTCAAGCCCAATAATCTTTCAAAGAGTAATTATGGCCTATCAAAGAAATGTAGTTTCTTAGCCAAGTATTGTTAGGACTGCAACAGCTCGGTATTTAGAAAATATTTAAAACACATTTATTCTAAAATCATAGCAGCTCCATGTTTTGTATGAGTGCAAATTTGGACAAATACCTTTTATATTATCATCATTTACTTACAAAGCCTCTAAAATTTCCCAGAATTGAAAGCATTTTTGTTCTGAAACTACATAATTACAAATTCCAGGTGGGGGGAAGAAGAGGGAAGAAAAAAAGAAACCAAAAGCCTCCTTAACATCTCAGTGTGGCAAGTATGTGACTGGGTAATTCTAGGTATGTTCTGGAAATAATTTATACTCTTAATGTACCCCAATAATTATTGTAGCTACTGATTCTTTTTCTTGGGAACCTCTCCTGTTTTGTTTGTCTTTTTATTACAAAAAGAATTGTTGGGGGGAAATATACTCATGACTTTACCTTAACACAACTACTTTTATTTTTGCATTATTCTTTTCTAATATTGGTCCATGTTAAGAACCAATCCTGGATCTTTGAAAGATATTGTATACATATTCTTTTCTCATTGTCCCCATTAACATTTCCCATTTTTCTCTACTGCCTTGTGATTATTAAAGACTGCACAATCTTGCACCAAGTTTGGATGTACTGCAATTTACTGAACTCTGTTCTCACAGTCAGGCTCTTTCAGCTTTTCACTGAGATAAGGACGACTGTAATGACAATGAACAGCTTTGTGCATGAATTTCCAGACACTGAATTACTAAGTCAAAGGACAGGGCAGCTTTTGTTCTTTTTTCACTTAGGTTTGGGGTTTTAAAAAAATGTATTATCTTTTGTTTCATCCTGGGGTCAAGTGTTTTCCAAATGGGCAGTGCCTGTCCAGTAGGGAGCTTTCACAACTGTAAACTGAAGCAAACCCGTGAGGTGCCATTGCCCAGGAGCTGCACCAGGTAGCGCTGGGTAGGCTAGGTGTCAAGTTCAAATGGCTTCTCTCTAAGCTCCTAGCATGGGTGGCACCATTAGATCCGCTCTCCTCTCTCTCAGAGAATGGTTTCTTGTTCCACTCTTGGCTGTGAAGGATTCCTGCCAAACCACCAATGAGGACGCTCAAAACTCCATGAGGGAGGAGAGATACGCGGCAGATATCATTTTTTCCTCTAACTCCTACGCCAACTCTCCTGCCACCTATACACTCCCCGAGTTCAGGGGAGTCCCATGTCACTTTCTTGTAAAGGGTACATTTCCTCTTTACTTTAATGTACCAAGAAGGAAACAGTGATTTGTTGCTTTCTGACCACTGAGAATGACAAATTTTAGAAATTTTCTTTCTCTGTGTACATTAAAAGGTAAGAATATGCAAAATAACTTGGATATGCTACTCCTAAAAACTTCTCATGAAGAGTCTGACACATTGTAACAATTTTCTGATTCCTATCATCAATGTCCATATTTTCCTAAGGGTAAATCAGCAACAAAACAACAAAAATTTACCTCCCAGAGCCTACCTTCCTCTTTTGGGTTTGAGAAAGAAGTTGTTTGTTACTCTTTTAGAAAACAGGAATGCAAAAATACTTGCTTTGCTAAAAGCAAATATATAACCAGCTTCTCTGCTTGGTGCCTTTCAGTATTCACAGTAGCTTTACATTTCAATGCTGAATCATAGTGCAATTTTGAAGACATTTTAAACGGCAATTAAACACAACTCAGGCAGAACCAACAACACATATAATTAAATTAAAGCAGTGATAATATTAACAGCTATGACCAAATTCATGCACAGGCAGACCATGACAACTGTGTCACAACTGCTGTGTGGCTAGCAGTGATTGCAGGACGCCATTGTGTACCTCTGAATAGCAGAACAGGAAAAATCTGTATTAGGCCTTTGTATTAGGAATTACTGCAATATCTGACTAACTCAGTGACATCCTGGGAGACTAAAAGCTACTCTTTCTTCCTTGTCCCTTGCAAAGGAAAGTTTTTTTTTTTTTTTTTGCTGGTGTCAAGGTAGTAACAAGATAATGACCTTTACCTGACAGGAATCTTTACTTTAAAGGCAAAAGAAAGTACTATGGGACTGGGGCTTTAGCTCAGTGGTGTAAAGCGCCTACCTGGCAAGTGCAGGTTGTAAGTTCAATCCCTGGGGTACCAAAAAAAACCAAAAACCAACCAAACAAACAATAAAAACCAAAACCCAAAAAACCTACTACTACTGAGTGACTCAAGTCACTTGTATGCATTCAATATCTAATTCTGAAATTGATTTTGCAAAGTAGTGGTATCAGTCACATTTTCAAGTAAGGAAAGAGTCTCAGAAAAGTGAAGTATATTGCATGCGGTCACACAGCCAGCCAGTGGTGAAGCAAAAGAATGTGAGAAAGAACAAGAACTTCAAAGTCAGGGCTGCTGGTTTGTGAGCTGAGGCTTGGCTAGAATACCACACGGCACATGGTCAGCA